ACTGCCATCCTTACCAGGTCTGGCCTACATTTGACTCCAGACCCACAGCAAAATGGTTGACTCTTATCCACCCTCTTGGCTTTTGGGGATGGGCAATAAATGATAGCCTTTTCAGCAACACCCACATCCCATGAATGAATTAAAAAAAGACAGCATCTTTCAGAACCATCTAAAAGGACAAGACCAGCAGCTATATGGGAACACCACCACCTGCAAGTTTCCCTCCAAGCCACTCACCATCCTGACTTGGAGATATATCACTGTCTTGGGTCAAAATCCTTGAATTCTCTCCCCACCTGCATTGTGGGTCCACCTACTGCTGCAGCTCAAGAAGACAGCTCACCACCACCTTGTCAAGGAGCACCTAGGGATGGGCTGTAAGTATCAATGACACCCACCTCCCATGAATAAATATGAAAAATGATAAATGCTGCTCATAAAACACACATTCTGTGGGAAACAAATAACGTAGAAGCTTTGTGTATTTAACAGCCTGCAATAACTACCTTTACACAATGCTTGTGTCAATGGTGAAATCAATGTCACTTAGTGAAAATTAACAGTGAGTGATGTGTGTACTTGGGTCTATCGAAAGTAAAGCCCCTGTCACCACATTGGTACAACAAAATCAAAGAGTCAATCAGAGTGATGGAAAAGCAGATGGATCTTTAACAAGACATTGCCAATCCTTAATCCATAGCCATAAATTCCTTCAGTTATATTGACATCTTACACTAAACACTGGTTGGAAATTTCAAACTATTCATAAGCTGCCAGCACATTCAAACTAAAGTAAAAGCTGAGTGATATCACTGCTGACTCGAAGTAATGATGTGACCTGAAATACATAGAACATAGAACATAGAACAGTACAGCACAGTACAGGCCCTTCAGCCCACGATGTTGTGCCGAACTTTTACCCTAATCCTAAGGTCTATCTAACTTCCACCCCTACCTTATACTATCATCCATATGCCTATCTAATAGCTGCTTAAATGCCCCTAATGAGGCCGACTCCACTACCCTCTCCGGCAATGCATTCCATGCCCCTACCACTCTCTGAGTAAAGAACCTGCCTCTGATGTCTCCCCTGTATCTATATCTACTCACTTTAAAACTATGCTCCCTCATAATAAATACCTCCACCCTCGGAAAAAGTCTCTGGCTGTCCAATCTATCTATACCTTTGATCGTTTTGTACACTTCTATCAAGTCACCTCTCATCCTTCGTCGTTCTAAAAAGAAAAGCCCTAGCTCTCTCAATCTTTCCTCATAAGACCCACCCTCCATTCCAGGCAACATCCTGGTAAATCTCCTCTACACTTTTTCCAATGCTTCCACATCTTTCCTGCAATGAGGCGACCAGAACTGGACACAATACTCCAGATGTGGCCAAACCAGGTTTTTGTATAGCTGGAACATAACTTCACGGCTCTTGAACTCAATCCTTCTATTAATGAAAGCTAACACACCATACGCCTTCTTAACAACTCTATCCACCTGGGTGGCAGCTCTCAGGGAACTGTGAACATGAACCCCAAGATCCCTCTGCTCCTCCACACTGCCAAGAATCTTTCCGTTAACCCTGTACTCTGCTTTCAAGTTTGTCCTTCCAAAATGAATCACCTCACACTTTTCAGGGTTAAACTCCATCTGCCACTTCTCAGCCCAGCTCTGCATCCTATCAATGTCCCTTTGTAACCTAGAACAGCCCTCTGCACTATCCACAACTCGACCCATCTTCGTATCGTCCACGAACTTACTAATCCACCCTTCCACTCCTTCATCCAAATCATTCACAAAAATCACAAATAGGAAGAGGACCCAGGACAGATCCTTGTGGTACACCACTCGTAACCGAAATGGATGAGATTCAGTTGTTTTTGTAAGAAGGAGGTGATTTTGTATGTACACTTCCAGTTGCACATGTCACACAGGGAGACAAGATAGGCTATCCAGTAAAGTGAACGATCTGAATGATCTGAACAAGCTCTGAGCTGCTGATTAGGAGCCCAGTGAAAGCCATGGCACTGTTTAGAATCCCATCCTTCTTCTTTCCAATTTATATAAGGGTCCTCAAGCTGAGTTTCACCACACCCCAAAAAAATGGATAGAAGAAGGTGAAGAATTCAGAAACAAAGAAACCTTCTGTCTTTTGCATAGGTAGTAATTACCAAGTCTGATAGTTAAAGCTTTTAAATGTAATGAGTATTATTTCAAGTAAAACCAAATTACTAATAGAGCAATTTTCAGAGATTGACAACATGATAGATGACATTTCTGAAGAAGAGTCCCGACCCGAAACGTCAGCTTTCCTGCTCCTCTGATGCTGCCTGGCCTACTGTATTCCTCCAGCTCCAGCATCGGCAGTTCTTACTTTCTCTGAGATGATTGATGTAGTACATTCTTGGAAAGCTCAGTTGGTTATACAGTTTGCTTTGGTTACAGACAGAATCAATGTGTTTTATTACTGGTTGTGATCAAGGTATTTTGTATGTGAGGTTTGTATGTTTTCTTATCCTTAAAGTGATTTGTCCCACTTTAAATAATTCCAACAGCATGCTTTGTTGTGAGTTTTGAAATAAAGAAAGTTATTTATTATTCCACACTTCCCCCATGTGACTGTGACTTTTCACTCTTGCATACTACAATACAATGAAAGATCAATGGGATTCATTTATTTGTCCCCATCCATTGAGTTTTAACGTTCGTGTTGTCCATGGCGAAGGAGTAAACTGAACATTTGATATGTCATGCGATAACAAGGTGTAGAGCTGGATGAACACAGCAGGCCAAGCAGCATCAGAGGAGCAGGAAAGCTGACATTTCGGGCCTAGACCCAT